AATTGATTCTTGGTTTCGACTTTTATAAACAAAGGCGTTTTGAACATCCGGTTCAAACATGAGTTAGAAATAGCTGCTGCTAAACAAAGTTTCACATCCTCGTTGTTTTTTTTACTTAACTTTCAGACTTTCCTAATGAGAACAAACAACCTGCTCAAACCTGTTACAATGAGAGAGATCTCCCTTCAGCATCATCAGTAGCCCACAAATGAAATATTTATCTCCCTACAATCGAAAGCCAATTAAAAATCAGATGACCATCGGGCCAAAGGAGAAAGAAAAAATCCTTAAAATAGACTATAGCATCAAATTATTATCTAATGATCACGGTCATCTTTAAACTAGGGTGGTACTGTGCTATTTGGAAAAAACATCCACAGATGGGTACTATAGAACTACTTATACCTGAAACATTCACATGCATATGATCAATCATTATCTCATGATCACTTTTCATTTTTTTATTAGTGAGCCGCTACTTGCAAACAACATGCACCGATTGGTACCATACAAGCTACATAAATGTATTCATCCATTCATGCTAATGATCAATTCATAACAAGTTCATGTGACATCGATCAATGTGTCACATTTTTTAAAAAAAATTGCTTGAATGCCACACAATTGAAACAATTTTTCAGACTACCACGCCTCCAAACTTGTTACAACTAGCAACGAGTTTGGTTACGCCATGTGTCAGTTCCTCATCATCATCATCATTGACGTCGTCAGGATCACCACTACGCTCGCTGACACCTTCTCCTTTTCTTTTTCCTTCATTTTCTTTCATCAATGCAGATTTATTTATCCACTCAGCAACTTCTTTATCTTCTTCCATATCATCAATATTATCAGCTTCAACTTCTTCTTGAAGTTTCTTCTTCTTTCATAGTCTCTGATTTTTCTGACTCCAATTCATTTTGGATATCAAGTTCTGATTCTGGGGTACTTGATTCTGTGTCATCATCAACAAAACAAACTTCAGGTAGATATTTTGCTTTAAACGCCTTCTCAAAGTCATTCCAGCTTGCATCAAGATTGGACCATATCCATCCTTGATACCAACTAAACGCGCTTCTTCTTAGTCTTCTCACAGCTTCCATCAACTTTGCATCTTCATCGATTTCCTCTGCTTGAAAATATTCTTTCAAACAGATTAACCATCTCGCAACTTCATCTTCATTTCCATAAAATTTTGGAATCTCCATTTTTTTATCGAACAGATAGCATAGCTCGCAGAACGAGGCTCTAAAACTATTCTTCTCTCTTCACGGTGCTTCAGCACTTGTCTTCACCACAGCTCCCAAATCGAGGGCTCTGATTCGCCTCTTTGATCGAACGAGGCTCTGATACCACTTGTTGGAATTTCAATTCCTTTTATATCACTTGTTGGAGATGGGATAAATAAATATGAGAAGAAGATAAACTTTAAAAAATAACAAACTTTTATAAAAAAACAAATACAATACAAAACACAACTGTTACAATACTGTGACTAATTTTTCTCTCAAGATAATTCTTTTTGAAACTATCTTCTTCTCTGTAAGAGTATTTCAATACTTTTTTTGTCACACACTAATAGAACTCTCTCTTTCTGTTTTTCATCTCAAGTGCTGCGGCACATTTGCTTCTGCCTTGCTTCTCTCTTTTCAATTCCACTAACACACATACACACTTAACTACAACATACATATATATAGATTTCACCAACCGACTTGATAGCTTCTTGCTTTACCGACTTTCCTAATAACAATATAATATTGAAACTACAACTTTCTACAATTTCCCATCAACCGACTTTGTTTCCTTTAGGAGTATACCACCGCTTATGACTTTTCAAAGTATTAAACTTCTTCAACATTCTTTAATCATCATTTAGAGAATTACTCCACGTAACTTTTCAGGCTACAGATTTTTTTTACCGCCTTTGACTATTTTGTTTCCACATTTGATGAGATACTTCTAGGATGAGCAAATGATGAGGTGGCAAAGACTAATTTGATTTCTAACAAATAATGTTTTGAAGAAAAAAAAATCGAAAAATGAAAGAAAAAAAAATGTAACTAACTTGTGCTGTAGCTTGACGCATTTTAGTCAAGTCGTCATTCATTTCAAGCACAGATTGCTCCAATATTTTCTCCGGATCTTCAAAGGAACTTATGATAGCATTCGCGTATGACTGCATTACTAAGATCACAAAATCTAAACATAATGACAACAACAATGAGAATATTAAAGCTATGTTGGGATAAATTTTAAATGTCCGTTTTTCAGCAGTTTTGGTTATTTAGTTTCTTGTGTCAGTTAGAATATTAATGAGTCAGTTATGTCAGTTATAAAGTAATGAGGGTGTTATGTGTGGAGTTATGTTGGTCAGTTTTATAGCTTATAAATAGCCTTTGATAGTTTGTATGAAATGTAGATCAAGAGATCAAGAGAAAAAGAGAAAGAGCAAGAAAGCAAGAATAGAAAAGAAATTTTTTTTTGTAGATACACAAGTCTGGTTGTCTCTTGCATCTGTCTGGATATTCAATTCTAACAAATTGGTATCAGAGCTTGGGCTATGGAGGAAAAGAACGAGATGAAAGTGCCACTCTTCCATGGAGATAAGAATGAAGCATTAGATTGGCTTCTATGTTTGAAGGAACATTTTCGGAAAGAAAAAATCTGGACGGAGAACAAATGGCAGGTAGCCATGAGAAGACTCAGAGGAAGCGCAATCAAATGGTTCCGTAAATGGAACTGCCGCGACTTTAATAATATGTGGAAGGATTTTCTAATGGCCTTCGTAACAAAATACTTGCCTGGACGTTTTGATCTGATTAATGAAGAAGATGAAATCTTCAATGATGATGATGAAGATGAGGAAAATGATGCGGATGAAGAAGAGACCGAGATGGCGGAATCCGAGGTTGCCAACGGCAACGCATCCGCGGAGGAGATTGACGTGTCGGAACGCGTAAGAGACGACTCGGAGAAGAAGACGATGTAGATGACTGCGGCCCAGAGGAGGAGAACAAGGGAGCCGAGATAGAAGAGGAGGAGAACGAAGGAGCTGAGATAGAAGATGAGGAGAACGAAGGAGCCGAGATCGAAGCTGAGAAGGACGGGAATGACGAGTCCATTGTCGAGGTAGAAGATTTCGTGGAACCTGAGTGTCTGGAGACAGAGTCGAAAATCGGAAAGGAGATTGAGAAGCTGAGGTGCTTGATGGAGACCGGCATGGAGGAGACCGCGAATCCGAGTTCCGTGTTGATAACCGGGATGGGGGAGATCTTGGCTAAATCACCGAGTTCATGTTTTGGAGAAGAGCTCGACCCTGGCGTGATGAGGTTGATGTCGGAGACCGACATAGACGCGGTTCGGGTTGGAAGTCAGAAGTCGGAGACTGCATTGAATTCGTGGTGGAAGTGGAAGATGTCGACACCACCGAAAAGAGACCATTTCCTTGGAGGACAGTTGTCTAAGATTCCATTGATGAGGCGCGTGGAAGCTGTTCTCGATGAAGAAGAACCCGACGATGAAGAAACTGAGAGCGAAAAAATGGAAGGTGCATTTGAAGAAAAGGATGTGGTCTTCAAGAGAAAAAGAGGTTTTGTTGACAATACCAATGATGCAGAAATTGGGATTGGACGAGGAAATAAAATTGTGAAAGCAACTGATGAAGTGGCGAATGAAACTAAGAAGAATTTGGGTGACGAGAAACTTGCAGGTGAAGAAGATACAGCGAACGGAAACAAGGAAAGTCCTGCTAATGAAACTGAAAATATCAAATTGAAGAAGCCACCGGATAAAATAAAATATGTTCAGAAAAATAATTGCAGGGGAGATATTTTTTTTTGAGTTAATTAAGTTGGAAGGTGTTAGATGTTTTTTGTCAATTATCAAGATTGAAGAAAACAGGCGCGATCAGAAGTTGAAGAAAAGCAGAAGCAACGCGAAGACAGAAAGAAGAATTTAAAATTTATGGGGGAGTTTTGTTGGGATAAATTTTAAATGTCTGTTTTTTAGCAGTTTTGGTTATTTAGTTTCTTGTGTCAGTTAGAATATTAATGAGTCAGTTATGTCAGTTATAAAGTAATGAGGGTGTTATGTGTGGAGTTATGTTGGTCAGTTTTATAGCTTATAAATAGCCTTTGATAGTTTGTATGAAATGTAGATCAAGAGATCAAGAGAAAAAGAGAAAGAGCAAGAAAGCAAGAATAGAAAAGAAAAGTTTTTTTGTAGATACACAAGTCTGATTGTCTCTTGCATCTGTGTTGATATTCAATTCTAACAAGCTATACTTCAAAAAATAAAAACGATTGTTGCTGAGTGAATTTCTTTCGCCTTGACAACTCTGGCAAACCTATCAAAGAGGTTCATGCGAGCACCAAGACCACCTCCACCACGCGTAGATCGCACAGGCTTCAGTATCCTCGTACCTTTAAGCTTAAGAACTTCCACTACAAGAATTAAAAGTTCGGACCACATTAAATAAATGAATCATATGCTAAATATAACGTTTCAGCAAATTAAGTTGAAAAACTATGTAAGATTTCTTGGCAAAAAAATTAATATATTGCTTTTTAATTAAAAAATTACGAATTTATAACAATTTTCAAAATAATTTCGAATCTGCTGCACAATGTTACACCCAAATTGGACGTCACACGTGACGCCCCATTTAGGCGTGACACCCACATAGGTGACGCCTTAAAACTATAAAATAAGAACAAATAAACCCATCTTAAAGCTCCAAAATTCATACGAGTCTCTAATGATGCACTTATCACTTGACCCATGATCCTTGTTATTGAAGATTGTATGAGATAATGATGTTTTCAAATAGATGCTAGTCTGATAAAATTTTGTTGGTAGCAACTCCATTCATGTCTACAGTGTACTCATCATATTCAGAAATTGGAGTAAATAATCATCGACAACAATGACAATACTAGCAGAAAAGAATGAGCTTCTTCTGCGAGTCACATTAGTGAATGTATAATACTTTAACAAATTGCCACTTTTGTTCTATGTTGGCAGTGAATCAGATATACAGATGTCCCCCCTACATAGTGGGCATACCCTGTGTATAATATAAAAAAGTTAGTGATAAACATTTGCAAGCACCTCTAACACATGTTGAGTTCGGTGTAAAGCTACAAACAACACATTTATAGAATACAGCAGTAAATTGGCAGGAATATATGTAGTAATAGGCAATATTTTATAATTTTAAAGTTTTTAACCATAGTTAACCAGAAGAACACACCCAAATCCCGATTCCCACATACCTGTGAATCTCCTTCAGCCACTTGTCTACACATGTTCTATGAAATTCATGATGACAAGGCAGTACTCGCATGCTGTCTCCATCCTCATACTCCACAAGGCATATATAGCATCTGTGAAATTAAAGTATTAGCAAAGGTGAAAAACAGATTATTAAAATTCAATATTAGTGAAATGCCTAAACTAGTCTAAAGTTTGACAGTACTAATAATAAATTTATCAAAACAAAAAAAATGTACATTAGCTTAGCATACTAAGTGAAAAAAAAAGGTAAGAGAAGAGGGTAGAAGGCCCCACTCCATGGTAAAAAAAGATAAGAGTCATGAGAATCTAAACAAAGACATATAAACCATACCTCAAATCCACGAATAGTTAAAGCTAAAAAATTTTATACTAATGACAACAATAACAACAGGATATGGAAGTGGGAGGTAAACTTTCACAGTATCTGGCATCACTTGGAATTTTCATGTCATCATGTAAAACATTATAACATCCAAAAATGCATATTGTGATCCAAGCCAGTGGCCTCCTAAGACATGACTAGATATTATTGATCACTGTTTGCATTCTCCTTTTTAATTTTTGTTTTGGAAAAGTTGCACACTATGTAAATTTTATGTGACATGTTACTAAAGAGAGATGAAAGAAAAAAAAATTTTAAAGAAAAGGAAAAGAAAAATCCTAGCATTTTGAAAAATGAACACCAAGTTATGAGTAAGCCTCAATACTTACTGTACAGGTTCTTCTTGATGTTTGTGCAACTTTGTGTATAATTTCACAGGCAACGATTCCACAACTTCAATAGGTGCAGGAACAGATCCAATAGAAGAGACAGAAGGGCGGGAAGATAAAACCACAGATTGCTGATGAAATTCATCCAGAACCTAATTAAATATGTACAAATATTCAACTTGTATAAATATATCCAGAACCTAATTTCTAAAACCATAAGTTACAGTTTTCACTTTTTATGCTTTTTAATTCATCGACACATTAATTACTAAAGAATTTGGGATACCATCATTTCAACGTTTGTATACAAGATGTATTCAAATATTGATAAATGTAATATTTGATAATAGAAAATTGTTTATGCTAATGTTATTTTTATACAACTACTACACCAAAAAAATTGTAATCCATTTTATACTAAATTCACATGGATAACTCTCCTTTAGCATATTACATGTCATTTCTCTCAAAAGCATCTTTTTTTATTAGTTAGGACATGGTGGCGTTTTTCATATGAGTTGTCAAGAGAATGATTTGAAACAAAGTAGGTTTCAGGCCAGGGAGATAAGTAATCATACCTTCTTGATGACCAGGGAATGCTGAAGCAACAAAAATAGTTCCATCTTTAGCTCCTAACAATATCAAAAAAGCCAGGTAAAAGAAATTATCAAACCATTTACCAATAGCAGCTCTGATCTCTTTTGATTCAGATTCTCCATCGTCAATCCATTTACCTCATCCAAAACCAGCTAAAAAAAAAAAAGAAATCAAACATTAGGAACACGCAGAAAAGATATTGTGCTTTGGTTTTAACAAAAAAAAAAAAAATCACCACTCAGTACTACTCAATACACAAATTAATCACTAAATTTTTACTTAGCAAGCAGTTTCTAGCTCCATTACCACAGGAAACAAACAATGTAAGAGTTTGTGATCCCAAAAATCAAGATGCACATTATTCGAACAAATTCAAACATAAGCAAGACCTAAAAGAGCGATAACACGTTGATTTAGAAACACACACTACTCAGTCCTACTCACATACAAATTAACTGCGAAATTTTACTTAGCTCACCATTTCTAGCTCGATTTTCTCAGGCCCAACTTGATAAGAGAACACCACCTTTAATTTGACGCGGTATCGAGTTTGTTGAATCCGCGAGTGGCTTCATTCTGATAAGAGAACAAAGGTATCCCTAATCAAGCAATCTTGAAGATCATCTTCAATTTCGCGAAACTCCGTTTCACAATCTCACTGGATATTAGCGATGGTGAGAAGAGTATGGACCAACTTGGAGCAATTTCGAATTTGAAACACGAAATTGAAAAACTTAAATCTGAAAAGGAAAAGATGCAAAATTCAAATGAAGCATAATCGCTCCAATGACTCTGGGCTTTGAAGCATAAGAAATGAAGTTCTCTATCAGATTGAAATCTGATAAAGAATTTTAAGTTCTGAAATGAATAAGGGGGAGGAGACGTTGTAGCGGTTTAGTGGAGAGTTAGCCAAACAAAAATTTTAAAAAAAATAGAAATGTTTTTTTTTTAAACTGTTGGATTTCATAAAATTTAGAAAGTAAATATAAATTAGAAATATTATATATTTATAATAAATTTTAAATAGCAAAACATAATATCAAATTATGGAAGTTTAAAACCTGCCAAAAATTAAATTATTTAATGGAAGTTTTTTTATCTACACTAAAAAATTTCCACTAATCATCTATTTTTTGTAGTGATTATATAAAGTTATTATGATGATTTTGAGAGAGGAAAGGAAAAATAATTTATTATTAGAATGAATTATTAGGATAAATAATAAAATTTATAAATTATTAAGTTTAGAATAAAGGTAAATTTGTAAAATAAATGAAGAATAAAAAAGACTAACATACATCTTAAAAAAAAAATTATTGCTTACCAAAAAATAAAAAAATTATTAAGCCCTAGCGGCTAGCACACACGATAAGACAATCACATCATATCATACTGTTTATTAAAAAAATCTATTTTCTTTGCATTGTAGTTGAACCCTAGACAGAGATAGAACGGACGAGCGACAAGCGGAAGCCTTGGTCCTCCCACCATGGTTTCACTTTCATGCCCATCAGAATCTAATGTTATTAAATCAGGATATCAATTATTCTTTATCATTTTTCTTTCCTCTTGATATGCTGATTTAACTTAAGAGGTGTATTGGATTGAGATTACAAAAAATTTTAATGGATTATATTTGGACAAAAAAATCCATTGTATTCGATTAAGATTTTAGTGGATTGAAAAAAAGTCACGTGGTATTCGATTAGGATTTTAATGGATTGAAAAAAAGTCACGTGGTATTCGATTAGTATTTTAAAGGATTATTTTAGAATCCGTCCAAATCCATTGGTATTCAATCAGAATTTTAAACAATAGAATCACAATCTCATGGTATTCAAAAATCCGACGATCTTAATGGATTTTCTATTGGTGTGGATTTCGTGAGATTTTTTAGTGAAAAATATAAATAGGATGTCTCTCTCACAATCTCACCTCAATCCCTAGGATTTCTTGAGATTCTTCTATTGCAGTGTTTTCTTCTTCCTTTTGCAGGTTGACTGTTCGAAATTGAGTTCCGCCATGGGAGCTTCGTCAAAACTAAAAACAAATTATTTTTGAGCGATTTTCATCACAAAACAACCCAGAAACAACAAACCAACGAGATTTTAATATAATCTATCTCAAAAATAACATTTTTTTGAGAAATTTTGAAAGTTTAAAAAGTGATTTTTCAAGCTATTCTTGGCACAAAAACGTGTGATTTTTGTATTAAAAATAACATAAAACAGTGAAAAAATAATAGAAAAACTAAAACCCTCAAACCAATTTTCATTTTACATCGATGAAACAATATCAATTTAAAGAAAGATTGAAACTTTCAAATTATTATCTCATGATCACGGGCTATTTGACCTTTTTGTCCCTTATTAATTAATTAATAACTACTTTTTTCTTTATTCAGACCTATCTACTAATCTACCTCTCTTTAATCGAGTAACTTGAAAATTTAATCAATTAAATAGTCAAAACTGGAAGAAAGTGATTGACTTAAAGATTTAATCGTTTAAATCTTCAAGTTAATTGATTAATCTCTCTCTTAATTTATTTAATCGATTAAAACTAATATTTAATCGATTAAATATCCGAAATGAGCGTGAAAACATTGATACCAACTCGTAAAATGGCAACTCTTAATTAAACGCAATCAGCTCTTATTAAATACAAAACACAATCAACTCCTATTATTAAATACAAAATACAATCAGCTCCTATTAAATACAAAACACAATCAGCTCCAATTAAAAGCCACAAGGATTGAGTTTGAGTTTATTTGACACTGACCCATTATTGTTGATGAGAAGGAGAATGTGATGATCGGAAGAGGAGAATAAGGAAAGTGCAGAACTTGGTGACGCCATATGTTTTTGAATGTATTTTATTTAAAACAAATTAAATTTTTTAAAAAAATTAAAATAATAACTAATGTATAAATAAGTGAAAAGAAAAAAAAATGTTTAGAAATCAATTTTAAAAATAAATATATAATTTTTTGTAGACATTTATATCATATCCCTAATACTATTTGATGCTCCAAATATAAGATAGGATAATACAATCATATTGTTTATACAATGCGCATCAAACAAAAAGATAAGATATGAACTTATCAAGCTCTTATCATTTCCTATTCTTATCCAGCCCACTTATCCTATGTGTTCTTATCCTATCCACTAAACGAGGTCTAAAATTATATTAAAACTCGCAATTTCTTATTTATTCCCATACTTGAAAAAAATGCTCCCATACAATTATTTATAACTTATAAAAACTTGCTTAGAAAAAATTTATTTATATACATTTTTCATGCCTTTTCTAATTTATTATTAAAAACTATTCAGCACTGTAATCTTGATTCAGGCCAACAACGCGGTGAGCTAAATGATAAAAAATGAGATTAATATTTCTCATGTTATAAAATATAAAATTATCTTATACACACGTATAAAGATGTATAGAGCCCATGTGAAATCATATAAAGAGAATATAGGAAAAAAAAGAAAATATAAACCTCATATTTTTATTTGTGTATATGAGATAAAATTATTTTCTAAAACATAATAAACATTAATCCTTAAAAAAAAATATTATTATCGTAGTCCCCCGGTGGTCAAATAACTTTCGACTACCAAGATTGTCCAAAAGGAGATAAAGTTTTTTTTTGGATATTTAAAAGGAGATAAAGTTAAACCTAAAAAAATAGTGACAACCACAATTTGAATTTTGAAGGAGAGATAAGGCTATAGTGAGGAAATGGAAGTGGAAAAAAATAATCATATGGTCATGCGAAAGATCACAACCATACAAAGGTAGATTAACGGTTATGATTTAGTAACTACTTATTTTAACATTTTTTTTTCTATCTTCCTTTATTACCATTGATCCACCTTTATATGGTTATTATTTTTCACATGACATGATCATGTAAATTTTCACATGAGAGTATCCAGATCCATAGAGATAACCACAACTTGAATTTTGAAGGAGAGATAAGTCTACAGAGATAACCACAATTTAACTTAATGTATCTCAAAAGAATTCAACAAAATAAGAAGAAACTGTCAATAATAAACTTTAAATTAAGAATTTGGATAAACCCTAACATACATACTGCATTCTCATAGAGGAGTTAGAGAGAAGCACACAAACCAGTATCATGGGAAACTCATTGCAACCTCATGGACATGTGGAGGCCAACAAGGCCATTGACGTTCAAGCACAGGGTAAAGAGATAACATGCATGATTTGCATCGAGCCCTTTTCTCGAGGCAAGCTTTTCAAAAATAATGACCGATGTGTGCACCCTTTTTGCATGGACTGCATGGCCAAACACATAGAAATCCAGGTAGAGAACAACACAGGGAATATCCCATGTCCTGCCTTGAACTGCAAGCAATTGTTAGACCCTATCTTTTGCAGGTCAATCATCTCCGAACAATTGTTTGTTAAATGGTGTGATGCTCTTTGCAATTCAGCAGTTTTAGAGATACAAGACCGATCATATTGCCCATATCAAACATGCTCAGCTTTGGTTATCAACGAGTGCAAAGGCAAGTCTGTGAAGAAAGTACAATGCCCCAATTGCAAGCAATACTTCTGCTTCAAGTGCAAGACTTCATGGCATGCTGGGTATAAGTGCAAAGAGAATGGACAGCACAGGGATAGGAATGATGTTTTGTTTGGAGAACTCGTGGAGAGAAATAAGTGGCGGAGATGCCATAACTGTGGTCATTGTGTTGAGCGTGTTGGAGGTTGCGATACTATTCACTGCAGGTTATCTTGTTGGTCAGTTTAATTTTCTTTCTCCTTTGTGTTTTTCGATTTCCTAATGACATATTATTTGTTATCCAACGTAGATGCGGTGAATCCTCTTGCTATACATGTGGAAAAGGGGTTCACTTGTGTGTTTGCGAGGAGAAGAACATCGATGCCTGTGTTCAATGGTGTACTTTTCTGGTATTAATGGCTGTGCTCCTTGGAGGAGTATATTTTATTTCAAAACTTGTCGATTCACGGCGATTACATTAGTAAGTCATGTTTTCTCTGAGCTTATCTATGATGATAATATATGGGAATTTGGACAGTATCCTGATAAGAGTAGTTTATGATTTATGTTATCTCTATTAAAGTCGGACATATTACATATTTGTGGATGATTTCTGCTTAAAGTTATTTTATCAAGTTTGGAAGATTAGCAAAAGATACAAACACTGCGAATGAGTATAATCAAATCACCAGATGTTTGGGCTCTGTTTGATTTCTATTTCATAAAACAGATTTTTTTTGTTTTGAGAATAGAAAAACAAAAAAACTTGTTTGTTAATCAGTATTTTGTAAAAGTAATTCCGAAAACAACATCTGATTTTCAGTATTTAAAACCAAATTTACAGAACACGTTTTCATGTTTTGGTTTTGTGTTTTAATCTTTTACTCCTAAAACAATAAAGAGCTTTATTAATCTTATATCGTAGGGGAGTAATTTTCTCCTATCACAAAAATAATTATGGATTGGCCTACTCACATAAAAAAATTAAAATACACAAAAATTAATGAACGTGTAGGAAAAAGATATTATCTTATGTTGTATAAAAAAAATATTTCCCAACAATAAAATACACAGAACAAGAACTTCATTAATGGCATGATGGTAATTATTTGAAAATGAAAAAGCAAAAGTTAACATTGTGCCAATCTCAATTATAAGCTCTCGTAGCCGCACAATATGTTCTTTTGGTTTTTGGTTTTCTATGGGTGCGCATGACAACCTTCTCGGAATCAATTTTTTTTTAATTTCTGTTCCCGAGAACAGAAATTGATAGAAAACTCGTTTGGTAAAACCGGTTTATTTTTTTGCTCTCGGGATGAACCGAATTAATTTTTGTGTTAGGGAACAGAAAAAGAATCAGAAAATTTCTGCTTTTTTATTCCCGAGCACAAAATGAGAAACACTTATCTCTCTTAATCACTCTCTATCTCTACCATCATCACCATCACCACCATCATCCCAACACGACCACCGCCACCATCGTACCACTAGTGTTGTCGTGACCACCCCTCACCACCACGATGCCACCACCACCATTACCACCACCACCACCCATCACTACCACCATGCCACCATCACCACCACCACAACTACCACCGCTGCAACCACCACAACCACCACCATTATCGCAACCACCACAACCACCGCCATCGCCACCACTACCACCACCCTCACAACGGCACCAGCACCATCACCACCACCACAACTACCACCGCGGCAACCACCACCACCACCATCATCGCAACCACTGCCGTCACCGCCACCATTGGAACAACCACCACTACCACCACCACAACGGCACCGCTACCATCACCACCACTGTCATCAACCTCCACTATCATTGCTGCAGCCACCACCGACATCGACACCGCCGCCGCTACCAACCACCACCACCATCGTCACAACCACTATCGTCACCACCACCACCATCGCCACCATTACACCCCCACCACCACCACTATTGTCACCTACCACCATTGCCACCGCTGCAGCCACTGCCACCACCACCACCACCTCCATAATGCCATCACAACCACCACCACCAAGCCACCGCTACCATTATCGCCGCCACCAACCACCATCCCCACCACCATTATCGCAGCCACTGCCGTCACCTCCACACCACCACCATCCCCACCGCTATCACCGCTGCCGCCACCATTACCATCGCCATCGCCGCAACCAGTGCCGTCACAACCACCACCACTATCATCACCACGTCACAGCCGCCACGACCATGCCACCGCCACCGCCACAACCACACTATATAGAAAGGAAAGTGATGATCCGAATTTTTTTTATATTTAATAGGAATTATTTTTTATTATATTATTTGTCATGTTATCAAACGCAATTCTCATTCTCGGAATAAAAATAGAACATGTTATCAAACACATTTTTTTTTCTCAGAAACTGTTCCAAGGAATAGAAATAGAAAAGAATTATTTCTTTTCAGAAACAGTGCTAGGGAATAGAATGGTTGTCAACTTTTTCTGTTTTTTTCTTTAAAATTACATTCCCGGAAACAAATCATACCAAACAATTTTTTTTTTGTTTTTAAATTTTTAAAATTATTTTCAAAATAATGTTATCAAATGAATTCTTTTCATCTTTTATTCTACAAAATAGTTTTTAAAATTTATTTTATAAAATAATTTTAAGAACAAAAAATTCAAAACACAATCAAATTGATTCTTGGTTTCGACTTTTATAAACAAAGGCGTTTTGAACATCCGGTTCAAACATGAGTTAGAAATAGCTGCTGCTAAACAAAGTTTCACATCCTCGTTGTTTTTTTTACTTAACTTTCAGACTTTCCTAATGAGAACAAACAACCTGCTCAAACCTGTTACAATGAGAGAGATCTCCCTTCAGCATCATCAGTAGCCCACAAATGAAATATTTATCTCCCTACAATCGAAAGCCAATTAAAAATCAGATGACCATCGGGCCAAAGGAGAAAGAAAAAATCCTTAAAATAGACTATAGCATCAAATTATTATCTAATGATCACGGTCATCTTTAAACTAGGGTGGTACTGTGCTATTTGGAAAAAACATCCACAGATGGGTACTATAGAACTACTTATACCTGAAACATTCACATGCATATGATCAATCATTATCTCATGATCACTTTTCATTTTTTTATTAGTGAGCCGCTACTTGCAAACAACATGCACCGATTGGTACCATACAAGCTACATAAATGTATTCATCCATTCATGCTAATGATCAATTCATAACAAGTTCATGTGACATCGATCAATGTGTCACATTTTTTAAAAAAAATTGCTTGAATGCCACACAATTGAAACAATTTTTCAGACTACCACGCCTCCAAACTTGTTACAACTAGCAACGAGTTTGGTTACGCCATGTGTCAGTTCCTCATCATCATCATCATTGACGTCGTCAGGATCACCACTACGCTCGCTGACACCTTCTCCTTTTCTTTTTCCTTCATTTTCTTTCATCAATGCAGATTTATTTATCCACTCAGCAACTTCTTTATCTTCTTCCATATCATCAATATTATCAGCTTCAACTTCTTCTTGAAGTTCTTCTTCTTCTTTCATAGTCTCTGATTTTTCTGACTCCAATTCATTTTGGATATCAAGTTCTGATTCTGGGGTACTTGATTCTGTGTCATCATCAACAAAACAAACTTCAGGTAGATATTTTGCTTTAAACGCCTTCTCAAAGTCATTCCAGCTTGCATCAGATTGGACCATATCCATCCTTGATACCAACTAAACGCGCTTCTTCTTAGTCTTCTCACAGCTTCCATCAACTTTGCATCTTCATCGATTTCCTCTGCTTGAAAATATTCTTTCAAACAGATTAACCATCTCGCAACTTCATCTTCATTTCCATAAAATTTTGGAATCTCCATTTTTTTATCGAACAGATAGCATAGCTCGCAGAACGAGGCTCTAAAACTATTCTTCTCTCTTCACGGTGCTTCAGCACTTGTCTTCACCACAGCTCCCAAATCGAGGGCTCTAAATTCGCCTCTCTATCGAACGAGGCTCTGATACCACTTGTTGGAATTTCAATTCCTTTTATATCACTTGTTGGAGATGGGATAAATAAATATGTAGAAGAAGAATAAACTTTAAAAAATAACAAACTTTTATAAAAAAACAAATACAATACAAAACACAACTGTTACAATACTGTGACTAATTTTTCTCTCAAGATAATTCTTTTTGAAACTATCT